ATATCGAAAAGTGTGCTCTTAGCAGAAGAGAAAGCACACAGTTTGTTTAAATTTGAATATAATACTATCGTGAGTCTCAAACCACATGACAGCAATGCGAACGTCATTTTCACATTCCAAGGCATTTAAACAACTGTCATGAGTTTATTTCATGTTGTTTACCTTTATTCGTCGATGTTTTCCTTCGTGCTTCAACTCCAACTTGTTCGGCACCCTTATCCGTTTTGCCTTCAAAATCCAGAAAACCTTGAACCGTATCGGCATTTTGTTCTTTGATATCAGGTACTAAACTGTACAGAGTTTCCTTCGGTGCTATTGAAGCTGACGATAAACTGTCGACGTTTGACTTGCGTTAGTTTCCGTAGACTGACTAATTTCTTTGCTCTCCATCACCGTAACTTTGTATAATTCGACGTATCCTTATGCAAGTCGACGTAAAACCTTGTTAAATTTGACATAAATCCTCGAGTAAGTCAATGCACATCTTGTTGACATTCAATGACGAACGATCCAAATCGACAGGTCTTGAGTTTTCTGCTGTTACTACACTGCGGCTTGAACGATTAATACCTTTTATTGGACTTACTGTACCTTCAACTACAAATAAGGCCGGTTTACCAACTCAAAGATTGTAAAATACGATAGGAAAATAATAAAAACTGTCTTACAATCTAGGTAGAAAACTCGTGGCCTCGTGGCCGCAGTGAAGAGGCCAGAGACCACGCATGCGCTCAATTAACACAGGAAACCAGGGGAAATAACACAGGAACCCCGAGGTGGTAACAAGTTGTCAGGCTGATTTGTGTTTCCATGAGGTTCTGGGCTTCTAATCTGAAAGATTTTCTCCCAATCCAACTTAACACAACTAAGCCAATCCCTCCCAAGCAAAGTTGGTTTCCCTGTGTAATCTGCAACTAACGAGGGTAACGAGTAAGTCTGGCCCGTATATACCACATCACATCTCATTTCCCCACACACATTTACCAGCTCCCTCGTATAGGTCTTAAGTGTAGCGTTTGAAGGGAGAAGCTATTTAATTTTAGTAAATAAGTACTCTTACTCATAATGGAGCGATCCGCTGCAGTATCCATTTCCATCCCGCACATACAACCATTGATTGACATGTTAACTTTGTACTTATGATTCTTCGATACAGTGGTTTCGACAGAAAATATACCCAGTTTATCATATTCATCATTAATTTGCATGTTCTGAATGCTACCCTTACGCGAAAACGAGTTGGCTTTGTTTTCTTCACTTAAAGCACGACATACTATGGCGATTTGCCCTATTTTTGAACACTTAAAACATTAAGCATTTTTAAACTTACAACTATTATAGTTGTGTTTTCCTCCACATCTAAAACGTGATTTGTTGGACGAGTGTTCCTTTGCGCTAACTTTCTCAGTTTTAAGTCGGTTAACAGTTACTCTTTCTCTTTCTCCCACGGCAACAGCGGGGTGAATTCTTCTCAGCCATCTCCATGGACATGGCAATCTGACATCCTCGATCAAACGTAAGGTCTTCGGTATTCAGCAACTTGTTTTGTATTTTGACATTGTTGAGACCACAAACAGATCGATCTCTCAGAGCTCTGTCCAGAAACTCTCCATAATTGCAGTGTATAGACAATTTCTTTAGTGCAACAATGAAATCATTCACGGATTCACCTTGCTTTTGATTACGTGTGCCAAAGTGAAAACTTTGGGCAATCTCGAGCGGACGCGGATTGTAGTGTTTTTCCAGACATTCGATTAGCTCGGTCAATGGAATTTCCTTCGGTTTCGTGGGCGCCACAAGATTGCTTAGTGTAGAATAAACTTCTGGCCCAACTTCTTTGCGAAAAATTGCCTTTGTCTTTCTTTGACCAGTTCGTTGGCCGCCTCGTGACCTTCGCCTGCTGTTTCGATGATACCATTTGCAGTGAAAAACATCTCAATTCTTTCAACATAGGTACTGAACGTCTCTTTCTCGGGACTAAACTCCCGACTTTACCAAAAAGTGCACTGGCAGCCATCCTCGTCGCCAGAAATGTTGTATTTTTAGGATAACTACACTAAGAAAACAACGACAACCACATGGCATGTTCTCTCCCCTTTATTCACAACAGTAAGGGTTAAGAAAATTGTCAGTTAAAAGGGTACACCAAGACAGCATCAGATTCTCATGAGTAGCTTACAGAGAAATGTATCATCCTCAGTAGCGAGAATCTGTATGTAGATCAAGGAAAGGAATCAGGGATACTTAGGCATTGATTTTGACATTGTTTTTGCACAACAGTAGCAGATTTCACAGCCTCAGATCAAGTATCAGCCTTCAACTTTTACACATTGCAGATTTTTTCACTGTTATTCATTATAATGTTTAAAGTAACAAAACAACCAGTAACTTTGAAGTGAGATTACTCTTCTGTCACTCACATGTGGCATTTATTCCTTTAGAGTGGTCATTTTGAGTTGTTCTGTAGGAGCTTGTCACTCTTGCTAAGGCATCATATCGAGCTATTGACAATTCAAATATGAAGCAGCATCTATGAGCTGGCCATAGACTACCACAGCCGAATAACTGTCCATATGACTTACTAAAATTTTTTAAAATTTTGTTACTTTTGGTATTTGGGTTAAAAAAAAAACATTTTCATTATTTGTGAGCCTAAAATTTTGATTTATTATTTTAAGAGAGTGGTTCTCTGAAAGAGTTCATCTTTTGTTACTCATAGAGCCTAGTGAAAAAAGAAAGTGGGTTTATTCAGGTAGTCAACCGACCTAGTCGATGTCTATTTTATTGCTATTGCCAAGATATTCTCCAGTTTCTTTACATTTTCCTTTTAGATAGAAGGAAGAATTTGGTGTCATATCCAGATGACACGCCCAGTGATAAGTTTTAAAATTTGATCAACCTTTTGCTAAATTATGTTTTGGTATTGGAGGGAGAATTCAGATGTGAAACAGGTCTGAGAATTCAGAGGTAGTGCAGATGTAACTTCTCCCCATGAGATCCATACAATGTCCAGCAAACAGGTAATGAGAATACTCAAACTTATCACGTAGAAGTTGTCATCTTCAGTAATTGTTGTGAGGAGAAGAACTTGATTCAAGTTTGTGTTTCTTAACCCTACACACCCCAGCATCATTATGCATATTCTCCCTACTGTTCTCTCTACTGTACATTTTCTAGGGTGTTGAAAAGGAGAATTTGTTCAAGATTAAAGAGGTTTGTTAGTTGGTGATTAGTTCTGTTATTCTCATGACCTTAAAGCTTAATTCAGGGGTGATATTGTAAGGGGAAATTAAAGGCCAGTCGCTCCTTGGGCTTAAAGGATTAAGCTGCAGGAAAATGTTTTTGTTAAGTTCAGTTCAGGTTTGTTGTATCAGTGAGTTTTTTGGGTATCTTTTGGTGAAAGAGAATTGCGACCATTTACACAAACGGTTATGATACTCTTCAGCTTGGACATATTTCCTTAAAGATCCAATGTCAAGCATTTCTGTTATTTTTCAATGGAGCTGAGTCACGATAGCATGATGCATGACCAAGACTAAGGGATTCTTTAAATCTTCTTACGGTGGAGAAGAAGTGGCACAGATTCACACCATCGATTTATTGATGTTGCAATTACCACATCGTATTTTGAAACCTTTTTGTGTGACGTGTATTTAAAGATTCCTTAACGCTTTCATTCCCAGGAATGACCAAACAGAATTCCGCCTTACAGTGTCAATATAACATCAAGCAGGCATTAGTGATGAGAATAAAGAAAAATATCAATAAGGGAATAAATGTTCGATCCAATACCAAATTCTCCGAACTAAGATCATGAAAATTGTATGGCAGACATGAAGGACAATTAGTAATGAGATCTTGGGAGTGGAAGGGTTATCAAAGAAAAAAGTCGCACTTAGGAAGCAGTCATTATTCATCCGTCGCTGGAAGGGGTGGGGGAAAATTGATTGCCAATCAATTCGTGACAACCAATCCTCTCACCCCACTCCACCAGGGGATGGATATTAACCAGTCCCGTGTATCATTTCACATCTGTTACTCTACTGTCAATTCTCTGATGAGTGAATGTCATATCATGTTTTATTTCTGTCAGCTTCACTTTGTAACTTTGTGCGTTCACCTAAAAAACAACAAGTGAACAGGTGAGGCGCAATTTGAATTAATTCTTGATCACACATGTTGGTTGGCGATCAGGCGGCTAGCATGCACTATGTAGCCAATCAGAACACAGCCATAATTTGAAGGTGTATTTTACTTGTTACGTTCAAGCTAGTCTACTGCTGAATCATTCCTACTACATAGCCATCTTGAATGAAGATCCAACAGTCAGAGATAGACTGCCGGCTATGAGAATCGAAGTGTTTGTTTGGTTGAAGAAAATAATTTCACAAGAGGAAGTAAACATATTGTAATGATTAAGAATAACTGCTTTTTATTTGCAACGCTGTTCATCTGAAGGTCTTAACGATTCTTACGAAGAACAGATAATAAACAGTTTATAATGTATTGATCAGGAACAATGCCTGAAATCAATGATGTCCGGTAAAAATTTTAGCACGATCATTTTACCCGGATTAAATGTGTTAACTCCTAATCTACGATATTGTTTTTTACACTCTTTTTTCGACATTTGTAAACCACTTTTCCTACTAGCTACAAAATCTTTGTCGCCAGTAAAAATGATTTCCCCAAGCAATTGATGAAGTAGATTTATACATTGGGCGTCGAGATTATTCTATAAAAGTTTCTGAGATATAAAATGGCTTATTCCATGCAAAAAAAAAGACTTGGATTTTAAAGTTGTTTTGATGATCATGCCTTACTGGAAAAGGATTTTGTCACCAAGCATGAGATAACATATGATTTCCTGCTATAATATGTATAAAAAAGTTTGAAACAAAATCTGGACACTACACTTTCGGTATTAAGCCCCTTCAAACAAATCTTCAATATTTGCTTGGGCTACCCGACGTATCACCGTTCAAAAGTAAATNTTTGTATGTACACGATGGCAATTGACAGTTACCAGCTTGAATTAGTCCAGTTCATTTCGTTACGGGGGTTTTATTTGACTCGTGGCTACTTGGTTGTAGGAGATTGTGGCCAAATTCCGAAATCAAATGTCACGTTGTCGCCAATCAACATAAAGGAAGCCCACTTGGAGACTTCTTCAAAGCCATTGTTCCTCATCCATTTCCTGGCCTCGTGAAGAGATTCACTGGCGCTCTCACCGCGGTACAACTGTTTATAGAAACAAGTCATGAACTTCTCTGTGGCTGTGTCATCTAAGGCCCACCGTGCCGCTAACACTGAGCGAGCACCGGCTCCTAAGAACGCTCGGGCGATTCCAATAACTCCCTCTGCTTTAATCTGTCCACCGGCACTGTGACAACAGCTCAGTACCACCAGTTTGGCTCGTAGCTTAAGTCGTGAAATGTCCGCCATCGTCAAGAGGTAGACTTCGTCTCGTGGAACACAGTCAGGGGGACAGTCGGGGGAAAGGACAATCTCTCCTCTTTCAGCATTGCCATGGGCAGCCAAATGGATCAGACTCACTGAATGAATCACTTGAAGTACAGCCTGCTTTGTCGCGTGTTCTCCAATCAAAGGCTTTACCCCAAGAAGTCTTCCAAGCATCTCTGCTTCCTTTCTTGCACAAGGCAGTGATGTTATAATCATGCGTCTTCCTTACAAATCACCTCTCCAACCTTAGGGTCTCCCACTATCAGTGCGCCTGTTTGATCGTGATACTGTGGAGGACTGTCCTGAATACGCTTTAGAGTCGTCAACGATGGAACAATGCGAAGCTTGAACGACTCCGATAAATACTTTCCTTCTTCGTCAGTTAAGGCAGTAAATGGTATCTGATACATACAGGAATCGGGGACGATTATGATCTCTGGCTCCGTTAGTAAATCGACCACAGGAGCGATGATTATCTTGTAACACAAGTCAAGCTTTTTCTTGATATGCTTGTCATCACACTCACGCAAGAGCGTGCGGTTTTCATACTGAAGTGACATCGATTCGGTGTCATCTAGAGATCGATCTTCACAATTCTGTTCGGGTAAAATGCCAAGGCCACGGAAGTTTTCTGTAAAAAACTCATTCAAGTCAGGGACAAATCCAGTCTTCTCGTTTTTTTCCAGGCTCACTTTTTCTTTTGTAAAGAGGATAGCTCCTGTAGGTTTTAGAATCCAGTAACGTACATCCTTCTCTCCAACAGAGATGTAAAGGCAGACACAGTCAGTTTCCTTTGCGACAATGTGTTCAATACCACACCAAGACTGTGGATCGCCTGACATCTGCTTTTCGGTGACACAGTACCGAGCGGCCATCAAGTCGGCTAAGCCTCTTGCCCGTCTCAGTTCCTCGACGTAAAGGGCGTCTTGTGGCTTTCCAGTCCTAGAAAGCAACCAACTGAGCAAGTCGTAGGGAAAGGTGCCGTGTGTCTCCAAAAGTGATGTTCTCAACTCATCGCTGTTTTCAAGATAACTTCGCAAAATGTCGAATACTTCAATGCTTTGGAAAAGAAACGAATGGGCTTCTTCAAGATCGAATAGTGACACCTTCATCGCCGATAGACTACAAAGGCAATGCAACTCATAAAACTTGTGTCCAATATCCCTACTTAATGTGAGAGCTTTCTTGAGGTTTTCCTCGGCCATGTCATATTTAGCGATCGATTGGAAACACGTCCCTATATCTTCGTAATTGACCACAACATCATCTTTCCTACCAATTTCCATGTTAATTTTAAGGGCTTTCTTGTAATATTTTAGAGCATCGTTGTACTCACCACGCTTCTGAGAAATCTTCCCAAGGTTTCTGAAATGTATTGCCTCTCCTTCTCTGTCACCAATTTCCCTCCAGATTGGCGCGGCTTTCTTTACAAATTCCTCAACCTTTCCATATTTACCGAGACACAGAAATGTAGCTGCCAGGTTTCCATAAATGTTTACCTGTCCAACTCTGTCGCCAATTTCTATTTGGATAGTGAGTGCTTTCTCCAGGTACTCTTGGGCCTTCTCATATTTGCCGAGCAATGTGAACAGTACTCCGAGGTTTCCGTAGTTTAATGCTTCTCCATATCTGTCACCAATCTCTATTTTGATATTAAGTGCTTTCTCCATGTAATTTCTGGCCTTCTCGTATTTACCGAGCGACTGGAACAGGTTTCCGAGGTTTCCATAATTTGCTGCCTCATCATTCCTGCTACCAATTTCTGTTTGGATAGTGAGTGCTTTCTCCAGGTATTCACGGGCCTTCTCATAGTTGCAAAGGGATCGGAATAGTGTTCCGAGGTTTCCATAGTTTACTGCCTCTCCATTTCTGTCGCCAATTTCTATTTGGATAGTGAGTGCTTTCTCCAGGTATTCTCGAGCCTTCTCATATTTACCGAGCGATTTGAACAGTGATCCGAGTTCTCCGTAGGCACATGCCTCCCCATATCTGTTTTTAATTTCTGTTTGGATCGTGAGTGCTTTCTCCACGTATTCTCGGGCCTCTTCATATTTACCTAGCGTTTGGAACAATATTCCGAGTTTTACGTAGGTTGATGCCTCTCCATCTCTCTGCCCAATTTCTATTTGGATAGGGAGTGCTTTCTCCAGGTATTCTCGGGCCTTCTCATATTTGCTAATTGATCGGAATAGTGTTCCGAGATGTATGTAGCTTGTTGCCTCTCCATCTCTGTCGCCAGTTTCTATAAAGATGGTGAGTGCTTTCTCCAGATATTCACGGGCTTTCTCATATTTACCGAGCGATTGGAACAGTAGTCCGAGGCATTCGCAGCTTGATACCTCTCCATTTCTGTCGCCAATTTCTATTTGGATAGGGAGTGCTTTCTCCAGGTATTCTCGGGCCTTCTCATAGTTGCTAAGTGATAGGAATAGTGTTCCGAGGTTTCCATAGTTTGATGCCTGTCCATTTCTGTCGCCAATTTCTATTTGGACAGTGAGTGCTTTCTCCAAGTATTCTCGGGCCTTCTCATATTTGCCGAGTGATTTGAAGAGGTTTCCGAGCTTTCCGTAAGTTGATGCCTCTCCATTTCTGTCGCCAATCTCTATTTCGACAGTGAGTGCTTTCTCCAGGTATTCTCGGGCCTTCTCATATTTGCCAAGTGATCGGAATAGTGTTCCGAGGTCTCCGTAGACCATTGCTTCCCCATTTGTGTCGCCAATTTCTTTTCTGATAGCGAGTTCTTTCTCCAGGTATTCACGGGCTTTCTCATATTTACGGAGCGATCGGAACAGTATTCCAAGATGTCTGCAGCTTGATGCCTCTCCACTTCTGTCGCCAATTTCTATTTGGATAGTGAGTGCTCTCTCCAGGTATTCTCTGGCCTTCTCATATTTACCCAGCTTATAGAACAATAAGAGCTCTTCATAGTCTACCGCCAGGCATCTTTTGTTACCAAGTTGCATGTCTATTTGAATTGCTTTCTCCAAACATTCTTTACCTTTGTTATGTTTTCCTGAGGAGAGCAGCAGTTTTCCTAGTCTTCTGTAATACACTGCTTCTCCTTGTCTGTTGCCGGTCGTTTTCATGATACTTAACGCTAATTCAAAATAGTTTTTTGCCTCTATAAACCTTGTTTTGGCGTGAAGTAAAAGCTCCATGTGGTATTCTTTAAAACCTGGTGAATTCCATAATGTGAACCAGGCTCTTTTTATTGTGATACGGATACGTTCGCGAAATGATTTGGCAACTGGACTGTCTGTGCCTAATCCTCCATTGTTCAATAAAATCGAGCATTCTTGGCATAATTCGATGGCTTTAAGGGTCAAACCAGTTTTAAAAAGGAAAATGGCGACAGCTAAACCAATTTTGATAGCTAACATGGTAGATCCTACTTCTGTGTTGTCCATCATGGTCTTGATCACTATTGGTGTGAGGAAAAAAGGAAGGTCAAACATGACACTAGAAAGTTCCCGTACAGGAGGTGATAGATGCAAAACTTTTTTAGGGACCTGATGTACATTTCATGTTTGCGCCGCTCGTGTTAGAAAATTTGGCTTGTAGCCAATAAAGCTGTGTTTGATGTAAAGAAAATAAATCGTTTTATTCTGTTTCTTCATTGCTTAGAACATTTGGTACAAAGGCTACATTGTATTCACTTGTTTAGTTTTCGCTTCGCGATCATTAAAATTTTTTAAAATACATTTTTCAATTTTTGAGATCTGCAAAGAGGGTCAAATAGATGGATCACCTTTATCAAGACCGGTCCTTCAGCAAACATGTTTTTTGTTTTTGTTTTCTTTCAGATGTGGGGGGACAGTTGAAGTGATTTAACACCTGTTAAGAACCGTTTGGTTAAAGATAGAACCTAAGTTGTACCAAAAGAACATTCTCTTGGTTGTACACAAAACGACTAGTGCACGAACAAAGACCTTCAAATGCAGAGGAATTTTTTATGGACAGAGAAGTGCATGGGCAAAAGAGATGGAATTCTGGCAGGTCAAAGCTTAAACTAATCCCGTAATCAGACCTTCCAGAGCGAAGCAGTTGCACATTTTAGTTACATGGTAGGATCTGGGCACAAGATTAGGCAGTATAGTGGAAGAACACCAAGCTTAAGAGAGTTACTCGCCAAAATTTCGGGATCAATATGGGGAAACCAATTTTTTTCATATACGAGTGTCGTGAAAAGGCAACTTTTTTCTTTTGTCGCCTCAAAAATGATTAGTTATCTACCGTGCACCAGCAGTGATTCAACGGCTAAGGGGGAAAATTGTAACCAGAAAACAGAATTTTTACTTGTTGCCAAACGATATGATCATTTGTTAGACTGCCATTTGAACAATCAGATACTGATGATTCGAAAAAGTTTCATTTTAAAAAAGCATTTTCCCAAGCGGAGGAAAACGTGATGGTAGTTTTAACCCCTATGGTTTTGAAATGTAAATTTCTTGAAGTCACGTAGAAACCAAGTGGTTGAACTTCTTACAATTTTTTCAAGATTATGGAAATTCTTCCGGCAAATTTGTGAAAAAATTGTTTAATTGGTAAACGCCTCGCTCATAATGCATTTTTTTAGGTAAAAAGCATGAGTTCCTGATCTTCTTTGTCGTATCTGATGATTAATCAATTCCTTTTTTCAGCGTTTTTGTCACACACTTTTAATAATAGTTTTCATTTTCCTTCCAGTCATCGAAAAGTGAATACCCGTCACAGATACTCAGGAGGGGTATTCAAGGGGGGTCTGTAGTTGAATTTTATTTCCTGTCCTACAATTCATGATGGTCAAACATTCAATCAGTCATCACGCACAAATAACCTACCGTTTGAAGACAAAAGTTTCAGTTGAACTGTGATCAATCTTGTGATGAAAATCCAGCCGTTCAAAAGTGATAAACATTAAGGGCTGACGTCAAGTTCCCTGTTAAACAAAATAAATTGTTTCATTTTGCATGCTCAAATCCATCGATGTTTGACAAAAATTCGAAACCGAAATACAAGGATCTGAGCCGGAACAATTAATATTCGGGTAAACTACTGACCTTCTTTTCTGGCCTTTCTTCCAGAGCCTAGGGAAAGAAAAAAAAAATTTATTGATCTTTCCGTAACAATCGATTTCCATTTTCCTCACAAGAAAAGTCTACCCGAGCTTGGCCCGAGAAGTCAGGTGTTATTTTTATTGAAATATCAACACTATCACTATTCCTTATCACATTTTGGATGATCGCTCGGTGTAGTGCTCTCAAATTGCTAGTTTCATGACTAGAAAAACGCAAGAGTAGCGGAAATGATCGATGAGACTTTTCAGGAGAATCTCTAGAGAAACATGGATATTCCCACCGGATCCTGCTTTATAGGTATGGTCCAGGTTCATCCCACCTCTCCCTACCCTCCCCAAAAGGCGTGAATAATTGACCATTTCTTAGAGTATTGAGGTAGATCCTTTCTCTAAGGTCACCTGCGTGATTCTTCTTGTTACTTTATTTTAGTCTTAAATAGATCAGCACTTTTCAGAGTAACACTTAGTTAGGAAAGTGATCATCTTAGAGAAACTCGCCCGATCAACTTCATCAATTTTCCTTATTTAGTATATTACTTAATACCCTTCGGGTGAAACTGCAAATCGCACCCACTACAGAAAACGAAAAATTCATGATACAGTCGTTTATCACGGACATAAACCGACCGTTTGCAGAATGAAACTTCAACTGCACTGTGATCGATCTTTTCATGAAAATACAACCGTTCAAAAGCGATGAACACTTAGGAATGACGTTCTCTGTACAACAAAGAAAATTGCGTCGTTTTTGCATGCTTTAATTCATTAATATTTATAAAATTTAGACTTACAAAACCGAAATACAAGAAGCTAAGGCAGAACACACTTAATATTCGGGGGTAAACTGCTGAGCTTCTGTCCTTATCTTCCTCCCAGAGATAGGAAAACAAAATTGATGCATCTATTCATCCTTTCGTAATGTTCAATTTCCACTTTTCCCTGAAGAAAAATTGTGCATGAGGTTTGCCCGAGAAGTCAGGTGTTCTTAATATTCAACAAGAAAGGATAACTTTCTCCATCTATGTATCACTAAAATTACGTTGCATCATCATTTGGTTCAGTGATGTGCTCTCAGATTGCTTGTTTCGTAGCCAAAGGAAAAAATAAAACATGAGAGTAGCGGGAATGACCGGTGTGACTTTTCAGAAGAAAGTCTTGCAGGTACAGTTGTTCAGTCCACTTCATAGGAATGTATGCATGGGGGCATTTTGTATTTGAGATATTTAGCAGACAAGCTGACCCAGTTCAGCTTAAATTTGGTTTAAATGGGGGCCTGTATAAACAATAACAAAGGCAAACAGCATCGGCAGCTACGTTCCCAAGTCTTTGCGAGAAGGGGATAAGTTATTTAATGTCCCCTCGCCAACCAGTACAAGGAAGGTGCAGAGGACGGCGCCTACGGTTTATTGTCGTCATCCGAGAAGATGACTAGAATGTCTAACCATTTGCAGATGTCATAGCATAGGCAGCACATTCTCCTCAGTTATTTTAAGACGTGAGTTTTGGTATGTTAGGTTTATCTGCCTCTCCTTCTCCTCTTTAAAAGGCATGAATTTTTCATCATTTAAAGTAGTGTGTCGAGGTAGCTTCCCACTTTAATGTCACCTGTTTGTTACCTAATTCAGTCTTAACACTTTTCGGGTAACATTTAGTAAAGTGACCATCTTAGCCGGAGAAACTCGCCCGATCAACCATGATTCTCCGTTTTCCTTACTTATTATACTGATTTCTTAATATCTTTGTTTTTAGTCATGCAAATCGCACCTTCTGGAAAATGAAAAGTTCAAATCGAGTCGGTTATCACGCACAAATTACCTACCGTCTAAAGACAGCAGCTTCAACTGTACTTTGCTGACACCTGACGTTTTCTGTTTAACGATGTAAACTGTTTCATTTTTGCATGCTCGAATCCATCATTAATTATAAAAGTCCGACATAAAAAACTAAAATACAGGAACTCAAAATGAAACACTCACTGAGTCACTCGGGGCTAACTACTAAATGTAATATCCTTCCGTAATCTTAGAGATCGAGAAAAATACATGAATTACATTTATTCTTCCCTACCATTCCGTGTCCGCTTGAAAATTCTAAGGAAGATTAGTTTGACATGACGAGAAATTAGTACGCTTCAGTAATAATCGAAGATGTTAAAGTTGTTAACCATCAGGTCATCATATTAAAAGGAACATAATCCAGATACGAACTCCTTCTGCAAAAACACTCCCCTATGCGCCGAACGAAAATGATCGATTTACGTAAACTATGTAAAGACAACAGTAGCAAATAAATGAACATGACAGTCTTTAAGTAGCAAATAAGTTGAACTGTATCAGTTGTTTGGATGCAGGCAGTACTTACCTTAACCTGTAGATTTCAGTGTCCCTCCAAAAAATAAAGCGAGTCACACCTCCGTTATTCTGTTTAATTTTTCCCAACAAAAGTCAGCTGTCAATCACATCAAACAGAAAATATGATCCTTTTCTTCTTTCTGTCACTTTCGCAATCACACTTGTCGCCAGGCCTACCGTTGCTCCCAGCCGCCGCGGCGCATTTGCGCTGAGGATATGAAATTGTCCGACGTTATATTTCTTTTAAAACTAAGTCAACAAATCTACGTGATCATATTGTGTAGGACAAGATGAACTAAGGTTGCAATAAACGAGATGAACAGTTTGTTCTTCTCTTAAGACCTATCATTGGATTATTCTATATGATGATCCCCTGGGTACAAACAACAAAAATCTCCCTATATAACCGTGACATCAGAGTTAGTAACGCGATCTCTAGTAACTCTGATTCTATGTGGATGAGTTTAAAAATTCCGTCATTATTTATTTGCATGATTATGCGATTTTTGGCATAGGATAGCCTAGAAAAAAGAATTTGAACGCGTACCTGCTTAGGAAGTAGGTAGAATAGTTAGAAGATAGAAGTGAAAAGAGAACTTGAACATGTACTTGGTTCAGAGAGAAGGCAGTTGTTAAAATGACAATGATGAAAGCCACTTTTCTGTTTTCCAAGCACATCGAAAGGCTAGGTTTCGCACAATAATGTCAATTTTACTTGGTAGGAACTCATGATTAGCGCTTCGGTGCCAGTATTTCATTCCCCACAGGATAGTTAATTTGAAGGCTTTCAGCACTGCGAGTCGGTGGGAGGTCTGCAAAGGGGTCTGGCACTGATAATCAGTGCCTGATCCCCGGCAAACCCCTCTGCGACTTGTCTGAAATCTTCCCGCAGGCGGGGAACGTGCATCTTGCAGTGCTAATATTTGAAAGTCCTCTCAAATCCTTAAGCACCTTGGTTGTTGAAGATCTAAACAGTACAGATGACTTGTCCTTGCGATTCTAATATATTATTATCTGTTAGCTATCTTGATTTAGATTGAACTCTCCCGCGCCGCGTAACTAACAAGATGTATGTATTTAATTCAATTTAATTTAACATAATTTGTATAGCGCTAACTCCACTAATTGACCAAAGCGCTTTACAATTCATTATATTAAAATAATTAAAAATATCCCACTGGTAATAAAATATGAATAGATTAAAAACCTATTTGCAGACTTATTTATAAAAATATCACAGTAAATTCTATTCCAAATCATCAAAAAGTTATACATTATATGCTTTTTTAAAAAGATCGGTCTTTCAGTGTTTCTTGAATAAATTAATTGTATCTAAACTTCTAAGACCTAATGACAGCTCGTTCCAGAGTTGAGGTGCAGCAACGGAAAAGGCCCTGTCTCCGTATGTTTTAAGTCTTGACTTCGGAACTGCCAGAAATGTTTTATCAGTAGAGCGTAGCGTACGTGAACATGTACGATAACTAAGTAATTCCGAGATATATAATGGTGCCATACCATTTAGGGTCTGTACAGAGGTTAGTTAGAATTAGCAATTGGATCTTGGTTAGGTAAAGGGCTAAAATGGCTTTTAAGGACTGCTGGGGACCTGCGTGGAGCGTGAAAGATCGGTGTAGCATCGGAAGCGAATTCGAATTTTATATTGGACGCAGTTGAATACGCTTCTGGGATTTTTGACTGAAACGCGAGAATGGATGAAAAAGTCTTGCTTTTCCTTGGTACTTGCAAACCAGGTCACCTTTCACTTGGCTTTGTAACAAGTAGGTCTGTTTGTGCGATACTGGCGGTACAGAGAAAGAACTTTAAAATCTAGGGAGGAAAAAGGAGGTCCAAGTGACCTACGATTCTCTGAGAGCCGAGAGAGAACTGGAGAAACTGGAGAAGGGTATTGCTGAATTCCTCGGAACACCTCTGCAAACCCCGGTAACACCAATTTAAGGGTATCACACTTCAGGCAGACCCTTCAGGCATTAAGTTGAGTTTACTCGTGTATTTATCACAAACTGCTATCTCTCGTACGTGATTTTTAGGCGGATCAAAGTTCGAGTATCTGTGTGCTCTTGACTTCTTAGAATGGTCTCCTACTTTCCCTTCTTTTTGTCAAAAAATGGCTTTTAAGTCTTAAGGTATGTGTCATGTTGTTCAGAGTGACCCATGGACCCCGGGTCAACGGACCAGGTCCATGGACCCCTTTTCGAGGACCCCATGTAAAAATATGATATTTTTTGTTTCGCAAGTTTTTTGGGGGTTGGCAAGTACTTACTACGATTTGGATCCTACCGGCTATATCCGATCCGATAAAACCAAATATCGTCTTTCCCACAGCAAAGACGACGCATGATTTTCGTGCCAGAAATTCGAGTCATTTCGTTCACACGCTACACTTTAGGTGGTTTGCAACCAATCTCTAGAGAAACAGGTAATAATGGTGAAAGGAACAAAAGCCAGTGGACGAACAAAAGGAACTAATGAGATATCTA